ACAGGGTTAAATAAAACACAAAAGCCTTGAAATAAGGAATAAAACATAGCAAAAGAAAGGACCTTTTAGAAAATTTATATAAATTTTATTTCTCGCAACAAATCAATGAAAGATTATATAAAAGCATTGAACAAAAGTGTATCCCAGGCTTTACAGTCAGTTCTCTTATAAAGCTCCCCTATATACAATCAGATCTCTTATAAAGCTCTTCTATATACAGTCAATTCTCTTATATAGGTCTTCTATATACATTCACTTCTCATGTAAAGTTCCTCTATATACATTCACTCCTATAAAGTTCCTCTGTATAGTCAGTTCTCTTATAAAGTTCTGCTATATACAGTCAGTTCTATAAGAGACTTGACTGTATTGTACCTGTGACCAGGTTACTCCCAGGTTACAGGTCGTCCCCTTACCGACTGCCAAGTCAACCAGGTTGTTACTATTATTAACGACCCACAGGCCTACATGACCATTGTAACCTGCCTGGTCAAGCAGGTTGTTAGTACTAGCGACCCACAGGCCTGCACAACCCTCCCACCCACGAACAAGTCACTAGTCCATTTTCCACTCATAATTGCTCAGTGACAAAGTCAATTTTCATAAGTAATCAACCAAACAAGTTTCTGTTACTGCTTACAAGAGATGACTGGGTTATTTGTACACCTTAAGGCTACAGTGAACCCTCATAATATACCTCTGTACACTTAATTTATTGCAAAAATTATTAACAAGAAATATGTTAAAAGTACAACTTAACCAGTGTATTGTTCCCATAATTGTAAAAGTTCATTATATTAGAATGCACTGTAATATGAGTTTACACACTAAACCACCCACCTTAAAACTACATGTCCTAATATTAAGTACATTATCCTGTAATATAATTATTGTGCATTTCCTGAAAATAAACGATATCTGGGAAGGATAACACTGTACACCGATGTACAAGAATATTACAGTATTGCACTTGTGTGTTTTTTATAAGTACTAAGTCACTACGTCCGGTTAAGAGACCGAGGGACGTTGCTTAAGACAGCAGCGTCCCGCACCCAGACACCAACACCAGAAAAAGAGGATATGAAATTGTTTTTTTCTTTTTACATTTAGTAATTTATACAGAAAAAGTTACTAGCACCTTGCTGAGAGCACTTATATAATTTATACAGCAGATTAAAGTCAACTTGCTGTGCTTGTGATCTGATTTAGGGATAGTCATGGCCAGGAAAATGTTTTCCATATCTTGCAACTCAGTCATCAATATACTGATGGTACTCAGTACTGATGGGCAATGAATAAGATGCATGTGCAATGCTGGCAAGATTTAAGATTAACATCACTGCACCACACTTACAACAGTAAATACAACACCATCGCACTCGCCACGGTAAAACTCTAATGTATGCGCTTCATGTGAATTCATACTGCATTAAGGTGTGAAAAAGTTACAACAGTTCAGGAAACTGAAAATTAAATTATAGATCGTTGTTTCTAAACAAAGGTGTGGCTGGTGTATATCAGATTACAGGTGATCCTTGACTTACAATAGTGCAACTTAAGGTATTTCAACTTTACGATGGTGTAAAAGCAATTACTACTTTGGAGACGAAACTCAAAAATAATTACCCAGCATGAAGGCAGTAGCCCAAGATAATTACCCAGCATGAAGACAGTAAGTCCAAGATAATTACCCAGCATGAAGACAGTAGTCCAGGATAATTACCCAGCATGAAGACAGTAAGTCCAAGATAATTACCCAGCATGAAGACAATAAGTCCAAGATAATTACCCAGCATGAAGACAGTAGTCCAGGATAATTACCCAGCATGAAGACAGTAGCCCAAGATAATTACCCAGCATGAAGACAGTAAGTCCAAGATAATTACCCAGCATGAAGACAGTAAGTCCAAGATAATTACCCAGCATGGAGACAGTAAGTCCAAGATAATTACCCAGCATGAAGACAGTAAGTCCAAGATAATTACCCAGCATGAAGACAGTAAGTCAAAGATAATTACCCAGCATGAAGACAGTAAGTCAAAGATAATTACCCAGCATGAAGACAGTAAGTCCAAGATAATTACCCAGCATGAAGACAGTAAGTCAAAGATAATTACCCAGCATGAAGACAGTAAGCCCAAGATAATTACCCAGCATGAAGACAGTAAGTCCAAGATAATTACCCAGCATGGAGACAGTAAGTCCAAGATAATTACCCAGCATGAAGACAGTAAGTCCAAGATAATTACCCAGCATGAAGACAGTAAGTCAAAGATAATTACCCAGCATGGAGACAGTAAGTCCAAGATAATTACCCAGCATGAAGACAGTAAGTCCAAGATAATTACCCAGCATGAGGACAGTAAGTCCAAGATAATTACCCAGCATGAAGACAGTAAGTCAAAGATAATTACCCAGCATGAAGACAGTAAGTCCAAGATAATTACCCAGCATGAAGACAGTAAGTCCAAGATAATTACCCAGCATGAAGACAGTAAGCCCAAGATAATTACCCAGCATGAAGACAGTAAGTCAAAGATAATTACCCAGCATGAAGACAGTAAGCCCAAGATAATTACCCAGCATGAAGACAGTAAGCCCAAGATAATTACCCAGCATGAAGACAGTAAGTCCAAGATAATTACCCAGCATGAAGACAGTAAGTCTGTAACTTCTGTTAATTTATTTACTTTTCAATACTGGTATTTGGTTAGTTACTGGTAATTATTTGTTTATTTACTTAGTGACAGTAGTTATTTATTTACTTATCATATCAAATTCATTTTTGACTTACGATATTTTCAACTTACAAGTTCATCACAACGTACCTCCATTGTACGTTGCAGACCACCTGTACAGTCGTTTGTAAACAAAGAGACACAGCTGGTATATAATTTCATCTCTACCTCTTCCAGTGCCACCAGTATTAGTTAACTCTAGGGTCTACTCAACAACCATGCTACACTGGTGAAATCGTGCACCAATAAAGCCAGCCAAGTGTTGCACATGGCTCTTATTAAGTATAAACTATGTGAAAAAGTGTACAGTAGGCCTGCTACAATGTAGGCCTAATCAATACTGGTAGGCCTGCTGCAATGTACAGCAGGCCTACTGCAGTGCATCCATTCTTACATAAAATATAAAACAATCCACTAAATTAGAACACAAAGAAGGCAGTCAATATCACATACACTGTGAACTCTCTTACAAAAATTCTGCTATACAGTGTGATTTTCTGTAACAGCAATTGAAACATTTCATCCAATATTGAATAACAGGAGCAATGAAGGCCTATGCTTGCATTATTTAATTCTGGATGTATTGTTTCAATAGCATTTCTGAAACATTGCACTATATAGAGCTTTATAATAGAGCTGACCATAATCCAAAGTTCTGGACTCTTGCAAAAGCATATTTCTTTAATGGTTGCATGATGAGCAGAGCAGATCTAGACTGTCTTACAGGTCAGCAGTCTGACTCATCATATAAACTGTTAAGGAAGTTAATGATATCCCATGTCTTAAGCAAATACATGCATGTCTTAAGCAAATACAGGCATTTTTTGTGTTATATTTTGACTCCAAAACTTGTACAAGAATGGTATACAATACCAACAAGATAAAACTAAGACATATATGCAACATCTGGGCATCTCTACTGTAGATGTTTCGCCATCCAGTCTACAATAAAGATGCCCAGATGTTGCATATATGTCTTAGTTTCGTCTTGTCAGTATTGTATACCATTCTTGTACAACTTGTCAGACACTGCAACATCACGACATCTACTACTACAACTAACCCATCTCTTTGGGTAGGACCTACTTCCACTGGGGAATCCCGCCTACCAGACTATGCCCTTGTCTGCTACATGTCCCCTTTCCACCTGACATTAGTATAAAAGCGCCAGGCTCCTTGCTTCTGCTTCAGAATCTCCATGACTACGGTGCTCTTCGCACCTACTCCTAGGTTGAGGGACTGATTACCTCATTTTCTGTATATAGTTTTACTATCTTCAAGTTATGTCCTGGAATTTGTATTGATAAAGCCACTGGTGGGCAAAACGTCTACAATAAAGATACCCAGATGTTGCGCATGTGTCTTAGTTTCACTCCAAAACTTGCATGGATTAGGTTTCTGGATGTCCTGTGAATTTACAACCCATTAGACCTACTAAATTCTGCCTGCATAATAAATTTTGTTTCAGATTTAGGCTGACTGTGTTTCAGACTGTGTTTCTTATTGTAACATCAACTCGCTTATAAAGCTATTAGGCACACTGAAGTTTCTCATAAATGTGACTGATAAAGTTCATCCAGAACTGAACAGCAGGTGATATAAATTCATTTCTACATCGTATTCAATTCTGAATGTACTTTTCAATCATGTTTATAAAAAAAAACTTTATACAGAGGAACTTTATGAGTGAACTACTCTATTGCTTCAACCTTATTGTTTCTGAAGAATGACAACAACAAAAAAAAAGAGAGACCTGGGAGTAGGTTGGTAGACAGCAGCTGCCCAGGGAGGTACTACTGTCCTGCCAAGTGAGTAAAACGAAAGCCTGTAATTGTTTTACATGATGGTAGGATTGCTGGTGTCTTTTTTCTGTCTCATAAACATGCAAGATTTCAAGTACATACATGTTGCTAATTCTGCTTACACTTAGGTCACACTACACGTCCATCTATAAGCATAATATATACACACCTCTCTGGGTTTCCTTCTATTTTCTTACTAGTTCTTGTTCTTGTTTATTTAGTCTCATCTCAGTGGTGAAGTGGAACAGAATTCTTCCTCCGCAAGCCATGTGTGTCATAAGAGGCGACTAAAATGACAGGAGCAAGGGGGTAGTAACCCCTTCTCCTGTACACATTACTAAAATTAAAAAGAGACTTTTGTTTTCTTTTTGGGCCACCCGGCTTCAGTGGAATACAGCTGGGAGAAGAAAATTCAGTAAATTCATTGTGGACAAAATCTGCTTGATTTTCAATTTATGGGTCATGTACCAAAAAAATAATCATGAAAAGAAAAACATAAATATCTCGAGCTTTTCACAGGACTGTCAATAATAATACTGGATAATCGAAGTATGCAAATTTGGGCGCCCAATTGTGACTACGAGGGCAGTAACACCACCTTCGCATATATTATCGTCTGATAAAAATCCAGTTGAGCTTTGTTAAATAATGTTCATTGGTTACTACTGGACATAATCACCAAGCTTCCTGAGGTACTGATCCCAACACATTACCAGCTTGTTTATGTCTTCCAGATAGAATTCTGCTGGTCGATTACATAGCCATCGACTCACGGTATTCATCACATCTGTGCGAGAACACTGTCCTCCCAGGAACATCTCCAGAAGCCATAATGGATGGACATTGCTGGGAGTGAGATCAGGGTGGCAATTATACTTCAACCAGGAAAAACAATGTAAAAAACCTTCTATCTGCCTTCGTAAAATCACTGACATTAACCAAGTGTAAAGTAAATCAACATGGGATGTACATGAATGGTATACAAAACCGACAAGATGAAAATTAGACACATGCAACATGTGGGTATCTTTATTGTGGATGTTTCACCATCCAGTGACTTTATCAATACAAATTCAAGGACACGATTTGGAAGACAGTAAAACTATATACAAAAGATGAGGTAATCAGTCCTTCAGCCTTGGAATTGGTGTGAAGAGCACCGTAGTCGTGAAGAATCTGGACCACAGGCAAGGTTAGGTTAGGTTTGTCAGGAAACAGGAAGAGTGTTTCCTGACACGGGTCTTAGTCAGACGATGACCCGCTGTTGGAGCTTTTGGTCATCTGGCCAAGGCTTTCTGATGGCTTACCAGTAAAAATTATGGTCATAGTTATACGGTGGAACCTCAAATGTCAAACTGCTCCCAACTCAACCAATTATGTAAGTGTATTTTTCTAAGTGTTTTTATAAGTGTACAGTGGACCCTCGCCTAATGAACACATCGCATAACGTTAAATTTGCCTAACGATACATTTTAACGCTAACATTTTGCCTCGGCTAACGCTAACATTTTGCCTCGGCTAACGCTAAAACACTCGCCTAACGATATTCGTTCTCGGGTACCAATTAATATCGTTAGGTGAGGGTCCACTGTACTTTTGAGGGTCTGAAATGAACTAATCTAATTTGCATTATTCCTGATGGGAATAAATTCGCTCGGTAACGGCACTCAAACAGCCGTCTGGAACTAAGAAAGTTCAATATTTGAGGTTCCACATCAGGTTCTTCATGACTAAGGTGCTCTTCACACCAACTCCAAGACTAAGGGACTGATTATTTCATTTTATGTATATAGTTCCACTGCCTTCCACTCACGTCCTTGAATTTGTAATGACAAAGTCACTGGATGATGAAACATCTACATCCTGTTGTTGCATGTTGCACATGCAACACCAGGATGTTCCATAACAATTATAAACACATAAAAGGCCACTTGGGAACAACAATAACCATCAATCATGTTAGCTTATATCTGCAAAACTGACTCCAACATACATACATACATGTGTGCACAGTGCAAAGGTGATACCAATAGAGCATACAGGCACACTTGTACAGATGCACACATGTGTACACACAACAGTTAGCTCTCTCATAAACCTCCGTTTAGTGCAATTTTTTCATACATGCGACTGAAAAAGCATATTGAAAACTAAACGGCATAATACGAAGCCTTTCCATACATTTTTCTATTTGCAATGAATTTCTAAATCAAATTTATGAAGAACTGCACAACACAGGACCTATATAAGAGAACTTACTCTATATATAAAACAAATAGAAAGACCTCTTTTAAGGCCTACCTTGCTGACAAGTTAATTAATAAAGCATTTTCTTTTATTAGCAAGAATAATCAGGACAAAAGCAAAACAAGCACAGGAAAAATTGAGAGGATTAAATGAGGTGCGACTGGTCATCCAAACAACCAATTAAAAACTGAATAAATCCAGACTGAAGGATTTATATTCACCAAGAGCTCTGTGGAAATTATGCACAATAGGAGTGAGGTAAGGAGAGCTGTAGAGCTTTACCAGGAGAATGTTCGATCAATTTAACTGACTTTATAAAACTCTACCTGGAGGTGTAACAACTTAATCAACTTTATAAATCTATATAAGGGAGGAAATACCATTAAAACCTAGACATAACTAACCCCTTTGTAATAGAATTCAAACATAATGGATAAAATATTTGGCCGGATAATTGATTAATGCAACAAATCCAGTTTGCTGCACTCGACTGACAATGGAGATTTTTCTCCATTATCAGTAGTGTGTGACTGACGGACTCTCCATGCAAGGAGCCCAGTCCGTTGCACCTTGTATTTAGATACAGCGAATCTTGGATTAAGCAAACACTCATCTACCCCCTTCCCCTTATAGTTCAGTATACTGAGGTTTCACTGTACAGCAGTGAACAACACTCCTGTGATGGTGGAAGTTTTTACAATAATTTTGAGGTATGCAAGGAAGACTGGGTTAACCCTGGGGGGGGGGTTAACCCTGGGGATTATAAGCCAAGCAGTGTGGCTTATTTCTTTGGTTTTCTTCCTCTGAATGTGACTCACAATGGTTGGCTAACAACAAGGTACCTACTTACTGCTAGGTGAACAGGGCAGCAGGTGTAAGGTGGCTAACAACAAGGTACCTACTTACTGCTAGGTGAACACTGACAGCAGGTTTAATACTTGTCCAGGTTAAAATCACTGTTCAAAACGTTCTAAAACAAAATCAAAACATGCAACTCTCATGCAACATTGAAAACATTCAACAAAAACATGAAAAAAAAAAAAACATTCCATAAGTAAGGAACACAAACAGCACAAAAAAGTGACATTGGAAGCCAGAAACAACGACACAACTATGCACAGTATAAATCCCAGACCATGGGGGTTGTGGGGAGAACCCATGGGGGGGGAGAACCCATGGGGGGGGGAAGAACCCATGATGGGTGAGTCCTCAAACCCACCTGCCATGGGTTTCAGTCCTACCATTCTATTTCTTTTTTATGATTTCATAAGTCACGTTGCAGTATAAACAAAGCAGGGAACGGGTGGAGTTTGTACCCAGGGTGAGGGAGTGGTAACACTCCAGGCCAGTGTGTAAGCCACTGGGTCAGCTGGCTACAAGAAGATTCATACAACCAGGTATATTTATACACCATAGGGAGGTTAGTATGGGCCACTACTGTGACCACAAATGTAAGTTTTTACAGATGATTTTGCCACCGGTGGGAAGAAACCTCTTTCAGGTGCTTTAAGGCACCTGAAAGAGGTTTCTGTCCTTCTCATGGTCGCACCTGTTAACCTCCCTATGGTGTATAAATATACCCAGTTGAATGAATCTTATTGTAGCCAGCTGGCCATGTGGCTTACACACTGGCCTGAAGTGTTACCACTCCCTCACCCTGGGTACTAACCCCACCAGTTCCCTGGTTTGTTTGTGATCGTGTTTTTACAATTTCACAAATTGCAGTAAAAGTCTGTAAAAGTGTAAGGAAAAGAAATAGAACAAATATTAGGCCAGTTCTGTGAACACTTTGTTGTTCTTATGGTTCAAAAGCGACTTTTTTTTCGAAGATTTCTAGAGGCTTATCATGGAGTGAAATTATGATGGCTCTAGCCAATGGAAGTTTTTGTCTTCCTCAGGGAGCCAATCAGAAACTTTAAGCTGCTTTTGGGAGGACGTGAGGAAGGTGACACATGAAGCAATGAAGGCCTAGGCAAAATATAAGTTTAAATTTTAAAGTGGTAAGCCAGTGGAAGGTCTTAGATGACCAGAAGCTCCAGCAACAGGTCATCATATGACTAAGACCACTGTCAGAAACACTTGTCCTGTTTCCTGGCAAATCTTACCTAACCTAGCCTAAACTAATTTAATTAAACTGAACTAAACTAACCTAACCTAACCCAAATTAGCCTAACCTAACTCAAATTAACCTAACATAACCTAATTTAAACTGAATTAACCTAACTTAACCCAAATTAACCTAACCTAGGCTTGAGAGAGGCTACTTCCTAATCACTCATGAACAGAAATAACAACAAACCTCATTTTCAAAATTTCCCCAAAATAACACAATTACCGCTTTGTAACGTACCAGAAGACCCTCGAATGCTCTCCATGATTTCAGTGAGATTAATGATGAAAAAGCAGAGCAGAAAGGACATTAGAAAGCTTAACTGCCGGCCTAGGAGTGCTTGAGAGAGCTTTACCGATAATGCAACTAACAATTTCTATCACAAAATTATAGACGAGAGAACACCACGTGTTCAACACCATTACCTCTAAATAGGCAACTACACAAGCACAAATGCTGAGAAACAATAATCTATGAGTAATTAGCTTCCTAAAAGCTAAGAGTAAGTACAAACTGGTTTATAAAGCTTAAACTTTATTTGCAGTCAGTTATCTCATAAAGCTCCTCCATAAATGCAATTGAAAAGGTACAACCAAGATTGGCTATCACATTGAGAGCTTTATACTGCCTTCTGGTCAATTCTGGATGAAGCTTTTCAATCGTATTTATACAAAAAAGCTCACTCTATGCAGAGGAGCTTTATAAGAGAGCTGAGTGAAGTACATTCAATAACAAGAGCGAATTAAGACGACTGGGCGACATAATGACAATGAGTACTGCAGTACCGAGGCTTAGAGAAAACTTTAACACAATTAACTCTAATTTGACTGAAACATTGTGTTGCATAAGCTTGCTCAGCTTGACACAAGCGATGTTTCACAACAAGCTTGTACCACAATGTTCACTCAGGTCAAGGCTGGCAGTACAGTACCATGTGGGAAGTGCTTCAGTTTTTGTACTTGCCACAAATACCCCAGCCATAATTCATACCATATTTTTGAGGAACAAAATCGACCATGCCATACAAAATTCTGTGCCATACCATGCCCTTCCATTGACTTTGTGGAACAGTACAGTATTCTATCTTTTTTTTATGTACCGGACGCAAATATCGTACAATAACTTTGTACTGCACTTTCTAGCAAAAAAATCTACCGTACTACTCATTCTGCCAATTTTGCTTAAGCTTAATCTATCACCCCCCCAATTAAAGCTCATTCCATAACTTGTTTTCTTGGTTATACCGTTGGTACAAAGTCCTTTCAATCCAGTCTGTCCAGTCGTGCCTCTGTATTGCTCCATCCAATCAACCCCACTGAGCAGTTACAACTTGAGTCTGTTCTTAATATTGAGGCAGAAATTGATGTACAATCCGTCGGCAAGCTTTTGCTTGACCTTCCGCTGAGGTTCATCAAAAATGGTGACTCCTTCAAGTCCCTCCTCTTCCAGTTTGTCACCGATCTCTACACTCTTGCCACTGGTGCCGACCTCCTTGTCGGCGCCCACCTGTAAAAGAACGAGCTGGTGAGCAGCATCCTGGAAAAAGAGTAAATCTAGATGAACCAAGAGATTATAAACATGATTTGTAAACGACATTTATGCGAGGTAATACTGACAGTAAACCATTAATTATTCAGCCTAGGGTCGGATGACTTTAAAATGAAGTCATTTTAGTGTTGTCTTCTTCATGAGTGGTACACAATATCGACAGGATGAAAATTAGACACGTGTTACATTTGGGTATCTTTAATGTTTATGTTTTGCTATCCAGTGACTTTATCAATACAAATTCAAGGACATGATTGGAAGACAGAAGAACTATATACAAAAGATGAGGTAATCAATCCCTCAGCCTTGAAGTAGGCATGAAGAATCTGGAGCACAGACAAGAAGGCTGGCACTTATATACTGGTGTCAGGTGGTAAGGGATGGATAGCAGACGAAGACATTGTCACTGGTAGGAGGGATTCCCCAGTGGAATTAGGTCATACCTGGGGGATGGGTTAGTGGTAGTGAAGAAGGTTGTGATGGCCTCTGAACCAAGATTCTATGATGTTGCAGTGTCTGACAGGTTGTACATGATTAATATACAATACCAACAAGATGAAAGTTAGACATACATGCAGCATCTGGGTATCTTCATCTTGTGGTATTGTATACCATTAATGTCCAACTTGTTAAACACTGCAACATCATAGAATCTTGGGTCGGGAGACATCGCCACAACCTTCTTCACTACCACTAACCCGTCCCTTGAGTATAACCTCCTTCCACTGAAGAATCCCACCTACCAGTGACAATGTCTTCGTCTGCTACCCATCCCTTACCATCTGATAAAAGTATATAAGTGCCAGCCTTCTTGTTACTAAATGGCTAAAACTATGAGACCGTAATTTCTAAAGGAGTGGACCGGTAAGCCAATGGAAATCCTGGTCAGATGACCAAAAACTCCAACGGCGGGTCATCATCTGACTAACACCCGAGTTGGGAAACACTCTTCCTGTTTCCTGACAAACCTAACCTAACCTTGCCTGTGCTCCAGATTCTCCACGAGTACAGTGCTCTTCACACCAACTCCAAGGCTGAGGGACTGATTACCTCATCTTTTGTATAAAGTTCTACTGTCTTCCAATCATGCCCTTGAATATGCACTGATAAAGCTACTGGATCTTGAAACATCTACGATAAAGATACCCAGATGTTGCACATGTGTCTAATTTTCAAAATAAGGTGTATATCTCTTTATAGTATAGTTCAATTTTTTGTGAATGCGACTGAGAAAGTACATCAAAAATTGAATAGCATGTGAAAGGCCTTTGTAATTCATGCTGGTCAGAACTGACTATAAAGGAGCTTTAAAAGAGAATTGACTGTATATGGAGGAGCTTTATAAGAGAACTGACTGTATGTGGAGGAGCTTTATAAGAGAACTGACTGTATATAGATTAACTTTATAAGAGAGGTGACTGTATATAGAGGAGCTTTATAAGAGAATTGACTGTATAATAAAACAAGGTTTACTGTATATATTACAACACTTGCCAAAGAATATATTAGAAAAATAAAAAATCATATAAATTTATTAATACAAAGAAAAAATAATAATAATTTACTAATGTATAGAAAAAATCATAAATTTATTAAAACAGAAAAATCATATAAATCTGGACGAGAAATAAAACATAAAACTGAAGATAAGTGGTGGAAAAATATCAGTATCAATACTGACTCCTTTTGATGGTACAGAGGAGCCTCGTTTTTCATTTGCCCTGGTTTTCGTCGAATTCGGTTTTCGACGACTTTCTTCGTCAAAATTTTGTCCCAGTTTTCGTTCAACACCTCGGTTTTCATCGGTCCGCCGTACCAAATGTGTCCGCCTGCTCATGCCCACACAAAGCATCCCATGCGCTCTGAGTCAGTCTGGCTTAGTTTCTCGTCGAGTGAGCATTACCCTGCGCATTCATCCAAAACATTTCATAATAATCCATTGTTTTTTGTGCTTGTTTATCGAGTGTGACTGCTTTAAATAAGCCATCATGGGGCCAAAGAAAGTTCAAAGTGCCAGCCTTTTGATAAAGAAGGCAAGAAACACGAAGTCCATGGGGTTGGATGTGAGTGGCCAGGATGTGGAAGAGTTGGTGGACGACCACAGGGAAGAGCTAACCACTGAAGAGCTCTTGAAGGCAGCCAGGGGTCTATTGGTAATTCCCTTTATGCACAGTGGGAGGCTGTTGAACAGTCTTGGGCCCCAGACACTTAGTGTTTTCTTTTAGTTTCCTTTTAGTGTACTTGTTCTATCTAGGCTGGAATATTGCTGCACACTAACAGCACCTTTCAAGGCAGGAGAAATTGCTGACCTAGAAAATGTACAGAGAACCTTCACGGCACGCATAACGGAGACAAAACACCTCAATTACTGGGAGCGCTTGAGGTTCCTAAACCTGTATTCCCTGGAAAGCAGGCGGGAGAGATACATGATTATATACACCTGGAAAATCCTAGAGGGACTAGTACTGAACTTGCACATGAAAATCACTCACTACGAAAGCAAAAGACTTGGCAGACGATGCAACATCCCCCCAATGAAAAGCACGGGTGTCACTAGCACGTTAAGAGACCATACAATAAGTGTCAGGGGCCCGAGACTGTTCAACTGCCTCCCAGCATACATAAGGGGGATTACCAACAGACCCCTGGCAGTCTTCAAGCTGGCACTGGACAAGCACCTAAAGTCGGTTCCTGATCAGCCGGGCTGTGGCTCATACGTTGGTTTGCGTGCAGCCAGCAGTAACAGCCTGGTTGATCAGGCTCTGATCCACCAGGAGGCCTGGTCACAGACCGGGCCGTGGGGGCGTTGACCCCCGGAACTCTCTCCAGATAAACTCCAGGTAAACCAGTGGCACCCCTACTTTTCATTGGGGATATTTTACACAAATCACTCGTAGGTAATGATTTCTGTGTGCAGATTTGGGACCATTCCTTCTTGGATTTTCCAAGTATAGATTATGATATATCTCTCTCACCTGCATTCCAGAAAGTATAAGTTAAGTGCTTCCAAGCATTCCCAGTAGCTGAGGTGTTTCATGGAACTTATACGTGCAGTAAAGGTTCTCTGTACACTATCTAGATTTGCAATTTCACCTGCTTTGAATGGAGATGTTAATGTACAGCAGTATTCCAGTCTAGAGAGAACAAGTGATTTGAAAAGGATCATCACTGGCTCGGCATCTCTTGTTTTGAACGTTCTCATTATCCATCCCATCATTTTCTGTGCAGTTGTGATCGTGGCACTGTTGTGATCCTGGAAAGTGAGATCCTCAGACTTTACTGCTCCCAGGTCCCTCACTTTATTTTTTTGCTCTATTGTATGATCAGAGTTTGTAGTATACTCCATTCTGTTTATTATTTCCTCCAGTTTTCCATAATGGAGTAGTTGGAATTTGTCTTCATTGAACATCATATTGTTTTCCATTGCCCATTGGAAAACTTGGTTTATATCTTCTTGGAGGTTAATCGTGTCCTCAATAGATGACAGTCTCATGCAGATCCTAGTATTGTCTGTAGAGGATGACACGGTGCTGTGGATTACATCTCTGCCTATGTCTGATATGAGGATGAAGAACAGGATGGGGGCAAGTACTGTGCCTTGTGGAACAGAGCTTTTCACTATGGCAGCTTCAGATTTAACTCCTTGCATTTGATTGCATACAAAGTTGAAGATCCATCTCCCCACTTTACCAGATATTCCTTTAGCATGTATTTTGTGCGCTATTACACCATAATCGCACTTGTCAGAGGCTTTTGCAAAGTCTTTGAATACAGTGGACCCCCGGTTTGCGATGCTATCGGTATCCGATAAATCCGGTAACCGATGAATTATATCGCAAAAAACTTGCCTCGGTTCCTGTTACAAAACCTGGTATGCGATGTGATTCGTACGAGACGTGTCCACGTGTGGCCTGAACTGCCCCGTGTGTGCCAGTGTTTACAAGCCAGCCAGTGTGCGCGCATCTAAGGATACATTCGGTACATTCCATATTATCCATATTATCACTGTTTTTTGTGCTTGTTTCTGCAAAATAAGTCACCATGGGCCCCAAGAAAGCTTCTAGTGCCAACCCTTCGAGACTAAGGGTGCTAATGACTATTGAAATGAAGAAAGAGATAATTGCAAAGTACAAAAGTGGAGTGCGTGTGTCGGAGCTGGTCAGGTTGTATAGTAAACCCCAATCAACCATCTCTATTATAGTGAGCAGGAAAACGTCAATCAAGGAAGCTGTTCTGCAAAAGGTGCAACTGTGATTACAAAACAGCGACCGCAAGTGTTAGAAAATGTTGAGAGATTGTTATTGGTGTGGATAAATGAAAAACAGATAGCAGGAGATAGCATCTCTCAAGTGATCATTTGTGAAAAGGCTAGGCAGTTGCATGATGATTTGGTAAAGAAATTGCCTGCAACTAGTGGTGATGTGAGTGAATTTAAGGCCAGCAAAGATTGGTTTGAAAGATTTAAGAATCGTAGTGGCATACATAGTGTGATTAGGCATGGTGAGGTTGCCAGTTCAGACCACAAAGTGGCTGAAAAATATGTGCATGAATTCAAGGAGTACATAGAGGCTGAAGGATTGAAACCTGAACAAGTGTTTAATTGTGACGAAACAGGCCTGTTTTGGAAGAAATTGCCAAGCAGGACCTACATTACTCAGGAGGAAAAGGCACTCCCAGGACATAAGCCTATGGAAAGACTGGCTTACTCTTCTGATGTGTGCCAATGCTAGTGATGATTGCAAAGTGAAGCCTTTATTGGTGTATCACTCAGAAACTCCCAGAGTGTTCAGGCAAAATAATATCCTCAAGGCTAATTTGTGTGTGCTGTGGAGGGCAAACAGTAAGGCATGGGTCACTAGGGACTTTCTATGACTGGTTACACCATGCATTTGCCCCCAATGTGAAAAATTACCTAATTGAAAAGAAATTAGACCTTAAGTGCCTCCTGGTATTAGACAATGCCCCTGGTCATCCTACAGACTTGGCAG